ATCAACAGGAAGGAGCGCATAGTGCATGATGGCCACTTGAGTGTAGACAATGCATTTGTGGCCTTTTCGAGTCACTGTGGAACCACAACGGCATGGTCGTCCTGAGGCAGCCGCTTCATTCTGATATCTGTTGTCGAGATCTTTGCAGAGATCCAGCAGGCGCCTGTGGTCCTGAAGGAGGTGTTGAAAGATAGCTCCTGGTCTTCGAGTTTGGCGTCCACAAAGAACACAACTCGCCTTCAAGGCCATCAGGAGTCATTGCGTGCCAGGATCTGTTCCACTTCATGGTCTCTGACCAGCTCCCTTAGTTCCGGCCAAGTGTATGGTACATGATCTCCAACTGGTCTTGCGGGGTTGAACGACTTGCAGCTGCCTGATTCAATATGAGTGCGGAGCCCATAGTGATGTCGAAGTACTTGATGGCAGTGACTGCATGTAGCCGTACCGTCAGCGGAATCACGTCCTGGATGGAATTCGAAGGGGCGCTTTATCGAGGATGGTGTGGTTTTTCTCCTTTTGAGAACTTCAGGAATGGCATGGTCACCGTCAGGAACAGGATGACGAAGAGCAATGGGAACACCTGTTTCAAGTTCATCAGTGAACTTTCCAGCATCCACCAATGATTTGAGTATTGCCAGTTGTCTCACAGCATGGCAAGGGTGTGCCTTGGGGCGGTGGATGATGATAGCTTCCTGGAATTTCCCTTCTGACCAGTGTTGATGATGCATGAGATTCAGGTGCTTCAAGAGTTCAGTGCCGGAGGCAAAATGCCGAAAGCACAAAATACAATGCTTACGAATGAGTGTGCTCTTTTTCCAGCAGGGCCACCCAGGCTTCTGTACGAGCATGTTCACGTAGGGCAGGCATGTCAGCCGGTGGTACCTGCAGCGGTCTGTCGGAGCTGAACTTTGGGCAGTGTCCTCTTGTGATGTGTTTGACAAGGCCTCCCCAGGTGGAGTGCTTGAGGTCACAGTGTGCACATTGTGGGAGTCCTTGCAAAGCATCTCGAAGAATCTCATATCTAATTGTTTGAGAGCTTTGTGAACCCGTGTCAGGTGAGCATGTGCTTCAGTTGTCGTTTTGCTGACATGATCACAGTATGGACAGTACATGGCCTCCATGGGAGCATCAGGTTCACGTTGACTGGAACCCTCAAACCCCTGCATAATTCGTTGTTCAATGGATGCTGTTGAAATGGATTGCAGGTAATCATCAGGAGCAAGGCCTGATTGTACACGTCGGAGTCGATCAAGGGCTCGAAGCCAGCTTTCCTGCAAATGAGTCTTGGGTGAACATACTCCCAGGCGACTGATCTGTGGTTTCATGCGTGATGCGCGCAGCCTTGGTGAGCCCTGCGCATTGAATTGCATGGCAATAGCTGGATCTAATGCAAGTTGTCCAAAGTTTGGCCTCGTTAGCATGACTGAAACCCTGGTGTCCTTGAAACCAGTACTTGAGTCTGCCATATGCTGCACGTCCAATTTGAAGGCGATGGACAAGTGTGGCTTGTTCAAAGGCAAAGAACGAGAGTCGGGCTCCAAGGTAGGTGTGACAGGGAACAATTTGAACATACTGTGTGTGATTCCTCCGTGGTATTGCCAGCCATTGCTTCCACGGAACCAATGAACATGTCGTTTCAGTATCTGCTTAGCTTTGAGCCCTGTCAATCTAAGGAGGGCAACTGTCTTCTCAAGTGAAATCTCCATGCCTAATTCAACCAACAGATCAAGGAGGTGACCAATCAATTTCAATGCATCTCGTAATGCAAACTCACTGTCACTTTTCCAACGTAAAAGAAGGTCGTCCGCGTAGGTCAGTAGATGTTCAATCATCCAATGTCTGTAGACCTCTGGATCACCTGACAGATATTGCTTGCCGAACTCGTGCATCAAGTACATCAAGAAAGCTGTCCACTGTAGTGGAGAAGCTTTGCATCCCTGCCTCACACCACATGTTGTGGGTATGGCTTGATGAAGTCCTCGATGATGGACATGGTATTGCGCCTGATCCAACCAATGAAGGAAAAGTTCGGCCATCTCAGGAGGGCAATGACTCAGGGAGAGACCCTTTTTCAAGGCAGAACGTGGAAGACGATCGAATGCCTGCTTCATATCCAGAGAGAAAAGTAGACCTCCGCAAAGTCCCGGACGTTGTTGACCTGCCAAAGCTGTCCATGGTCCAGGAGTTGCATCCATACACATAGAGCGAATGTTTGCACAGAACTCAAAAGCTATGTATAGAGCCTCCTGTACTCCACGATGAGGAAGGTATGCCAGAATAGGCCACCTGCACAGAGTGGGAAGCATGTGAGGTCTGGCTAAGCTCCCAGCACTGCCTTGCCCACACCACAGGTGAGGGCAATGGGTCTCAAGTCCATCGGTGAGTGGACCGAGCGCTTGGCCAGCAGGGCCAAGTGGGCGTCCTTCCAGCTGGTGGGGATCATGGGTTGTTTGCCCCACTGCTCATGAAGAAGTGGAACAATCCAATTGGCTATGGGCTGTGATAACGCCTTCAGGAGAACGGAGGGGATGGTGTTTGGTGCCACAGCCTTGAAGGCATTGAATTTGCGCAGTTGCTGAGCCACATCCTGTACTGTGAGTGGAAAATCAGTATGCGCAAGTTGCGAAATCTCTGAGGTAGAGGCCGTGAAAGTCTCAGTGAAGTGGTCCGTCAGAATCTTGATCTCGTCCTCTGGCGAGTTTGATCCACCTGTGGGCGATCTGAATCTAATCATTCTTCTTGTTTGCTTTGGTGCCAAAGTTCGAGTTGCCTCGTACAAGCCTCTTGCATCGTGTCTGCAAGCCGCCATTGTAGCCTGTTGAGTTGCTTGCAGCAGTTTCTCTTTCTTCTTGACATGTCCCAAGGATCGAAGTTCTCTTGTCAGTTTCTGATGTTGAGCAGCGTGAAACCAGGCCTGTACCAAATTGGTGAGGTCCATGGACGGGAGGTTCTTCAGGTAGAAGAGATGCTTCCATTTCCTGGCCACAAGAGATTGAGACTGCTGCTGTGTCCATAGCGGTGAGTGTGTGGAAACAGATGTTGTAAAACTCTTCCTGCGCAAGGTGAGGAGTCGCGGGATAGGTGCCTCAACATCCAGAGTCTTGGATGAGGAGAGGATAGTGGTGGCCTTCTGCTCAAAGGTGTGCCACTCATCTGTTTGCCCCTGAAAGGCCTGCCACACATTCTTGACTGTTTGTTTGGAGATTACTCCTTTTCCTTGCTGATGCTGAAAATACCAAGCTCTCCATCCCAATGGAAAAGAACAGGCTATTGGGTAGTGATCTGGATAGGTTCGACCCTTGATGAGTGGAAAATGCGTGAGTCTGAAAGCCTGTTTGGCTTCATGGTCAGCTTGTGGGAAGAACCAGCCGGCCCTACAAAGGAAGGTGTCTTGTCTGTCGACCTTAAGGAACACAGTGACCATCTTTGCACCAAATCTGTGAATTCAGGTGTGGGAGTACACGATGTGGAAGTGTGAAGTGTAGAGTTAAAATCACCTGCAATGACCAGAACATTCCGAAATGGTGTCCTGCAAATGACCTGATGAAGTTCCTGCCAAAAAAGATTGCGAAATTTGCTGGGATTCCCTTGATCTTTTGTGACGTTGGTTGTATACTGGTAACAATTCACCACATCCACATTGCCTGAACCCAAGTGACACCTGAGGTGCTGCAAGCGTCCAGGTCTCGGGGAGGCATAGCTGACATTCTGGATCTGGCAGAAGTTCTTGTTCACCAAGGTGAGAAGACCACCTTTCTGTCCTGATGTGTCTGCCGATGGGAATGCAGCAAATCCAAATGTCTCCCATGGTTCCTCAAGTGACCAGGAGGTGCCCTGTAGTAGGGCCAGGTCGAATTGTTGAATATAGATCCAATTAAGCAATTCAATGTACGTGGCACTGTTCATGGATTGGCAGTTCCAAAAAAACAGGGTTGCACGTTTCCCAGGTTTCTTCCTCTTCGAGGGTGTAGGCACCGCTTCAGGCTTCTGGGTGGTGTGGGGGAAAGTCAGCGGCGCAGGATCCGGCAGTGTGGTGCGCAGCTTGCCTCTGTAGACCACAAAGCCATTGAGCGCCAGTCGACGTAGGGCTCTTTTGAAACTGCGCTTGACTGGAGGACAGTGTGCCCCGAGGGGCGCTTCTTGGGGCCCTAATCCAGGTTCTTTGGGGCATGGTTTGCCGGGGACACAATTGTTTCCAACCCCTTTAGAGCGCACCCTGGTATGCGCTCTACCCTCACCTTTAGCTCCAAAAAGCGTCATCTGTGAAAGGTCGAGCGGTTGGAGCTCCCGGAATTGGGACCGGGCAATGCACAGCTTCTCGTAGGGCTTGCAGCTACCGGATGCTTCTGGCCAGATTGTTGGTGGAGGAGCGGAGCACAGAGGAGCCACCAGAGCAGGAGCCACGAAAGCAACTGCAGCCGGGACTCCTTCAGAACTGCAACCGGGCCATCATGCCATAGCTGGAGCACAAATCCAGTGGATACGAGGTCTGAGCACTGAAAGGCTTCCAAGGGAACCAAGGGACCAGAGGACCACGGGACCAGAGGACCAAGGGACCAGAGGACCAAAGGACCAAGGGGCCAGGGAAGCAAGGGACCAGAGGACCAAGGGACCAGAGGACCAAGCGACCAGAGGACCAAGGGACCAGGGGACCAAGGGACCAGGACAAAGGGAGCAAAGGACCAAGCGATCAGGGAACCAGCAGGCCAGGACCAAAGGAGTAGAGGTAATTTTATTTTTGATACGAATTAATGTTTGCTTGATAGGAAACAAGTTTTTTTTTGATAGGAATCAATTTTCTTTTTGATAGGTATCCCTCCCTGGCGCCGATCCGGACGATGGCATTCTAAGTTTCAGTCCGACAGTATACATATTCTTAAAAACGTAAGTAAGAGAGAGGCCACGTCTCTTTCCCTAGACCGCTCATCTTATCTTTTCTCAAACCAACAAATGCCCACCATGTCTGACGTGGCCCAACATTCCAGGTGAAGCCAGGCTGCTATGTATGGCGATATGTTTTTAGGATCGGCAGATTGCCTAACATCCAGATCGTAGAAGCCCTCGGATGTGATGCCCTCCACTGTGGCAATGATCCTTTGGCCAAAACTCTTGCTCTGGTAGTACCTCGCCAAGAACCCGTCCAAATTTGAAGGCAACAAATCAAGCCACCAAAGGAGGAAAGTACTGCTTCGAGCATGCTACGGCAATCCCCGAAAGGAGGGCCCTCTTGGACTAAACAAGCTCCCCTCAGACTTGGATGCATCAGGATCAATTCACCCATCATTACCTGGACAAACAAACCAATTTGATTGGCACAGGAAATGAATCCAAGATGCACTTTGTCCCCCACATTGAACTTCATGAGTGGACCTGAAATCAATTCCAATTGCTTGGACGTTTCAAAATGCCCTAGTCACGACAGAGCTTGACTACTATGATCTACTATAATGAAAGTGACAAGGGCTCAGGGATATCCACAGGGAACAACCACCACAGTTGCCTAAGGGGCAAATGGGATGAGAGGTAACCTATAGTGCGGAGAACCCTGAGGAAACCAGGTACACGGCGGCGAGCCCCGGAAGGTCGGGTCCCCGTTGTGTACCGGGTGTGGGGTGCGTACGAAGGAGCACCTACGGCAGCCTAAGAACACACAACACGAATTGCGCGAAAGCGAAATGCACCGGCACGACGACGGAACGACGGCGTGTCGAAGCTGAAAACCAGCAGCGCGCCAGTTTTCTTGAGCCAAAAGCGAAGTCAGTGAGAAACCTGAAAAGGTGTTTGAACTGACCTAGCTAAACATGTCTGTACATGAACCGCATGACAAATAAGGGGTTAATCCTGGTTCATGAATTTCGACTCCCCCCTCGCCGTTTTGGCGTGCCATGGGTTGTATGTACAGGACTTAATTACCGCGCATTAAGCAGCGGATTTGGCAGCTACATCGGCTCCTAGCGAAAAGCTTCGATCCCTAAGGGATGGCTTCGGCTCGCGAATATCCGTACGTACGCCGAGAAGGCACAAAGCTTTATACCACTTCTGTGGTGGCAGTGCTTTTGTAAAGATGTCGGCGGCCTGTTCGTTGGTGTCGATGTATTGCACATTGATGCATGGGTCATCGAGACACTCTTTCAAGGATGAGAGATTTATCTTGTGTGTCCGGCCGATATGTCGAAGTTTGGGGAATACCCCTTACGAACGACTATGATGGTGGCTTGGTTGTCCTCGTGGATAACTAAGTCCACCGGCCTCTGCAAGAGTTTCTCCCAGAGCTGGAGAGCAGGTATGCCCTCCTGGTACAAAGAGTGTGCCAAACTTACCACTTCCCGACTCCGTGGTGGAGCGTGAAGTGGATGTCTGTCTTTACGAGATCCATGCAAGTGGGAAAAATGTGTTGGGACCTTTTAGTACGAGGAACCCGCCCGAGGTTGACTTAACGTCACCGGCATCGCCTCCAAAGTCTGCTGGGACCAGCTGCTCCCATCGTCGTCCACCATCCAGGTCAATCCGAATGCAGATGTGTATGAGCTAGATGCAGAAGATTCGGACAATTCCGATCCTGAAGCCCGCTCTCGACGCATTCGTAACCTAGAGGGTCGGACCGAAGACGCCGGCTGGCTAACCTGGCTTGACGGTGAACGTCCTAAGGGCGCCCTAGCCCATCATCCTAAACCGAAACTTGTCGAGCCAGCATCCAAGCGAGTCCGTGTTGTCGTAACTGCCGATGCACTAAAGGGGACACCCCCCGTCTCGCCCCCGCATGTTCGACAAGTGATCGTAGTCCCTAAGAATAAGCCTAAGGGTGCATCAGTAGCTGCAGGTCCTAGGGTCTCACTCCATGAGCCCCAACTGTCAGCAGCCATTGAAACGGTGTTAGTGCCATCCGGTCTGCCTCAGCCGCCGCCTCAGGCGCGGGAGACAGCCCAAGCAAGTGCTACGCCAATTGCGCCTCCGGTGTCTCAGCCACCTGTTGTCAAAGCGTCGAAGTCCCACAGCACGCCGCCTCCGGCGGTATCGATCGAGTCTTCGTCAGCTTCTCCACCACCGGCAAAGCCGCCCTCGAAGGCGCGCCCTGTTCGTTCTAGATCACCTCCTACTAAGGTTAAGCCACCGCCGCCCGAGGCGAGACAGTTGTCTGCCGAGGCCAAACGGCGAGCTTTCGAGGCCTTCGAAGAGCGTAACAGACCTGTGCACGTGGAGACCGACAACACAGGCAAGCCGCTGCCAGCTGGTGCTCGTGTGCCAGTAGGCGCGGGCATCACGGCTGCAGCCCCGTCTGATCCAACTCCACCTGGCGACGGTGACGACGACCAAGGCGAGCCATCGACCCCAAGATCCCCTAAGATACCCCCAAGACCTAAATCACCTGATCGACCGCCTAGCCAGCATGCCGCATCGGGGCTCCCTTACAAGACCCCGCCAGGTTCGCTAACTGGAAGATCAGCTTCTTGGGAACGGGATCCAAGTCGGCAACCAGAGCCAGCTCCTCCGAGACCTGTAACTCCTAAGAGGAAGCCACCACCACCTAATCCTTACCCATACCCATATGGTAAGCCTGCTGGTGCGCCGTCAGTGCCTCATGATACCGCATGGGCCTCGCAAGCTGCCTCTTCGGCGGCTGCACCTCGTGTTAGACAATTCGTGGTGGGCACCTAAGTCTGCTTCACGCGCCGACAGTCACGAGGAGCCGCCATCCGGTGGAAGGCTTGCCCCGCATCGACCTCCTTCCAGTAGTCCGCCCTCTGACACACCTAGGAGTATACAACCCACTACGAGATATCAGCCTAACCAGTTGCCCCGGTTGTTCGGACAGCAACTTGCTGATCCCCTAACACTAATTCCCGCACAGCCCGGTGTGTTTGAGGTAGGCCTTGACTGGCATAAAGTACTAGATACGATGCTGTCACCGGTCCGTACTCCGACAAACATTTTGACGGATCGCCTCAAGCGACTCGAGTCATTACCTGCACGCATCACAATCATTTCCTTTACCGGAGCGGGCGACCGCTACGAATCAACGGTTCGGGAAATCGATGCGTTCAGGGACCAATGCCGTGCCGCCGGCTGCCAACTCGGCGGAGGCTACTTCTTGACTAACGAGAAGACCGGGCGCGGCGGAAAGGCAGAACTCATAAGCCGTCTTCGAATCAGAGCTTTCATGGGTGACCGTGCGGACATCCTCGCCGAGATCCGAAGGACAGGCTGTTTTGCCATGGGCTTCAACGCCCGTGATTACCCCCAGGAGACTAGTGGAGCAATACAGGCGTTAACCGACTACATATGGTCGCGCCTAGCCCACTGGGACGCTCACCATCCGCTACAGGCCTTCGTACTTCAACAATACTCGGGCCAAGGCGGTCGTGGCGGCGGCGGACGCCGTCGCCGGTGACCCGTCATGCCAGCCGCTGCTTTATGCGCGGGCCCTTCGTTCGTTAGGGTAGGCATGTTCCTGGGTGCATTGATGATCACATGTTTTATGACCTCAACAAACCATACCATAACTTACAACCTCATCGTTGTTGTTTTGGTTTCATGTTGATGCACTCATGCCGCTGCCCAATGGCGCGGAAGTCCTGCCGCTGAAAGCGCGGGCCTGGGCAAAGACCCTTTTGTTTTCGCGCGCGCAAAAGTTTGCTAGCGCGCCTGGGAAGGATGGCGAACCACACAGGTATCACACCTCCCTCGACCCCTCCTCCGCCGGTCGGTCTCGCTCGTCACCTGAGTTCGACACAGCCCCAAGCAGAGGTAGGGTCCCGGCCGCGTCGGTCACCATCACCACCAGAACCCGGGGTACGCGACAGAACCGCGTCGAGCCCCGCCCTGGTCCCAGGACAATGGCGGAAGAGTCACCTTCATCGGAAGAGCCCAGGCGGCATCGTGGCGTGAGTGCACGGGGCAGGGAGCTTTTGGACAGGGGGGCGCCTAGTAGTTCTAGTCAACGGCCGGTACCCTTCATATCACTAGCTTCTATCCCTAAGCCGTCCCAACCTTACACACATAATCCTATAGACCCCAATATGCCGGCAGCTGCTTTTGTAGCTGGAGCAGCAATACAAGAGGCTAACCAAGCGGCACACATAGCGCATCATGCTGCATCGATGGCTGAACAACAAGCCATCGAAGCAATGCGAGCTAGACAGTTAGCGGCCCAAGCCGAAGAACATGCGACCCAGGTCCAGTCCCAGGCTCAATTTGTTGTCCATGAGACTCGCCAGCAGGCTGAGAACATGGTAGGACAAGCTAAGGCTCAAGCAGAGGCTATGGTCGGTCATGTGAGGGCACAAGCTGAGCAGTACGTTCAGTCCCAACAGCATGAACATGTTCAACGTCAGCGTCAGCTGGAGCAACAAGCTCATCAGTGGGCGTCCGGCGTCGAGGCCGCATATCGTGCCGGTGTAGACCAAGTAAACACAACCTTGACTGCCGAACTCATCGAACTGCAGAGTCAGAACGCGTACCTCACACAGCAACTGGCCGCGAGATCGCCGGTCCCAAGCTCCACCGATCTCACCAGCGCCCTCAACACAACCCCTTCACAGTGTCCGTTCGACATTGAGCCACCAAGTAGAAGGCTCCGAGTTCGCTGCGCCTTTCCAGGCGGCCCAGCACAGCAATGTGCCCACGACGGCTCAAGCCGTCGATATGCGGATTCCGAAGAGTTTTCATCACATGGCTCCACAAGAATTTTATGTCGGAACGCCAGTCGGCACACCTCACGGTGGTGCTACACCTGTGTTACGGGACTCAATGTATGTTGCTGCCCTTGAGCGTGAACTTGGTCAAACGAGAGAGATGTTAAACCAGGTATTGTCATTAGTACAGACTGGATATCCTCCCGTACCACCACCGCCTGAGCATGGGTACCCATGCCGTTTCGCATGACACCAGCACCACCGCCAGGTCTGATGATTGAGGTCCCAAGTGCGTGTCCGAAACCTTGTGCCTGTGCACCGATGCCGGCCGGATACCCAAACCCCGCAGCAAATGTTGCAGCGTCATCGACGCAACCACCTCCACCACAACCAGGAGCAAGGGTCTTGCCACCTTCTTTCCCCGTCTTTGAGCGGACTAAGAAAGAGGATGGTGGTGGCTCCCCAAGTTCCTCATCTTCATCTAGTGATAGCGAAGTAGAGGACTTATGTAGGATGTGTGGGGGCAAGCATCGGGAGATTAGGTGTCCACATCTCACCATGAATAAAGAAGATCATAAAGTAGAGTCAACCCCGACTGCTAGTTCGGAAGTTACCGACTATGCGGAGCATGAGTCCGAGATTGTCTATGTCAAGGGCTTGACAAACCTGATTCTACCCAACATACCAGTTGATTCGGGTCAAGCACGGGGCTACATCAACCAGGTTCTCATGAACATC